GATTCAGTGTGCAACACATGAATCTACTCAACTATTTCAGCAAAAGTCAGGAATCAAAGGGCAGAATCCAGCACTTGTAGTGACCCACCAGTAAAAGTTTTGTTTCCCATCCCTGTGACCTTATACTTTACTGGCATGGAGTTCTTAATTTCAAAGGGAGGAAAGCTTCCACCAGGAATACACAACAATGATTGCATTATACTGGAAGCTACAACTACCACCCAGCTGGTTTGGCTCCTCATGCTTCTAAATCAACAGGCAAAGAAGGAAGTTGCAATACTGGCTGGGATGACTGTCTTGATTACCAAGGAAAAATTGGGCTGCTACAAGACAATGGAGGTAAGGAAGATTGTATCTCCACTGTGACACCAGGGTATTTGCTGTCTGAAATGTGAGTCTGTGAGTGCAAAATTCCTTAGGGCATCTCTTAGTACTACTACACCCTGTGATCAAAGTCAACAGAAAACTATAGCAACTCAATTCAGGCAGGATTGCTAATGAGTCAGACATTTAAGAGATGGTTTTGGGTACCAACACCAGGCAAATAACTAAAACCAGCTGAGCTGTTTGCTGAGGGTAATTACGGGAACATGAAATGGTAATGAAAAAAGTTAGTTATAAATAGGTACCTAATTATGACCACATGACCCATTTCAAGAATGAAGACTGTAATTGTTACAAGTATTTCTTCTCTCTTTTGATATGAATATGTGATATATATGTATATGTATGTGTATATATACATATATATATATATGTGTGTGTATAATATTTTTGTCTTCTGATTTCTTATCATCTTATCATCTAACATAAGGCCAGGTACGGTGGTGCACATCTGTAATCCTAGTGATTCTGGAGGCTGAGGCAAAAGGATTGCAAATTCCAGGCCAGCCTGGGCAAGTTGGCTAGATTCTGTCTCAAAATTAAATAATAGAACTGGAGATGCAGCTCAGTGGTAGATTGTCCCTGGGTTCATTACCCAGTACCAAAAAGATCATCTAGCATATTAACAAGAGTTAATTTTTACATCACAGTAACATCACCACTCCAATGCTTTGAGGCTATAATTAAGTTACAGGATATCAAGAAAAGTGAGCATCATCCAGAGAAAAAGTTTGCATCTTCCTCCAGAGAAAAGATTGGTGTATTTTTTATTGTATGCAGGAGAGTTAGATCATGATAGGTAGAAGTATGACTTTGTTCTTGTCCTTATTTGGAGATTAAGTATAGTTCAAGGAATTGTAATATGTTGCCAAGGTGCCAAGGGGTGAACTGTGATGGTTAGTTTTATATGTCAGCTTATCTGGGCTATAGTATCCACTTTTCAAACAAATACAAATCTAAGTATTGCAGAAATGTGACTAACATCTAAAATCAGACGATTTTAAGTAAAGATTATCCTCAGTAGTTTGAATGGAGTACAATTACAGTAGTCTCCCCTTATCCACAGGGGAAATGTTTTAAAACCTCCAAAGATGCCTTAAGCCTCAGATAGTACCAAACCCTACACAAATGCATACAAATCAAATGCCTTTTCTATCTTAATCAAGGACTCATTATGCACTGTGGATATAACTCTTACAGTTTGAGGTATGATAAGTACAACTAGCACAAATTGGATAGAAGATTCATTTTTACCATAAATCTTACCAAATTCAGCATACATTTTTTTTCTTTATTAATTCAAGAACTTTCACCTTTTCACTTAAAGGAAGTACCTTACAGTTTCTCTTTTGCCAGCATCACTACACTTGTGTCTTGGGGACATTACTAAGTAACATAAGGGTTACTTAAACATAAGCACTTGCAATACTACAACTGTTGATCTTATAACCAAGATAGCTACTAAGTGACTAACAGGTAGGTAGCATATACACTGCAGATATGCTGGACAAATGGAATGATTCACATCCTGGGCAGAATAGAGCCAGACAGTAGAAGATTTCAAACATGCTACTCAGAACAGCATGTAATTTAAAACTTGTAAACTGTTTATTTCTGGAATTTTTCCAATTGATATTTTTGAATCACAGTTGACCACAGTTAACTGAAACTACAGAATGTGAAACCACAGATAAAGGGAGACTAATATATTGACAAATGATAGCTGCCGTGGATGTAGAAGACTGTAATGGTGGCTCAAGGTCAATAGGTTACCCTTCTCAATCCAGGTTCTTTAGCTTCATTTCTCTGGAAAGAGATTCCTCTAGGTCAGAATCAGTGACTCAAGAATTCCTTAAACAGGAACCCAACTCATGAAATGGGAGTCTTATTTCTTTATAGTTTGCTTATGTTTGCTGAATATTCACTGGGTAAATGGGGCCCTCAGGAGGGCAAACAGTTTCTCTCCATTGATGGGTATACTCTTGACAAAGCCATACAAAATAAACCCTGGACTCTTTCTCCAAGCTCAGCATACAGGAAGATGCTCCATGCCTGATGTTTCTATGACTGCAAACTCAGTCTCTGACCTCCATGGCATTTGGGAAGAATCTAGGAAGTTCTCCCAATTCATCTGAAGCATCCTAGGTCCTGTCCCCAATGAATTAGTTTAGGGCTTCACCATGACACCAGGGGATTTGCTGTCTGAAATGTGAATCTGTGAGTGCAAATACATGCTCATCTACAAGGACAAATGTGTACAAGTGTATATCAGAAGAATGGGGAGCACAAATTAGGACTCAATATCTAGGGGGACTAGGGTCTGGAGAAAAAAGACAATGACACAAACCAGTTTTGCTTGCCTCAGCAGCTGATGCCTCCATTTGCGGAATAACACTGAAGATTTCTGCTGGCCTTGAATTCAATCTGGAAGAAGGAGTCAAATATTTCAATTTGAACAGGATTCTCAAATATGTACCAAATATTATCTGTTGGCATTCCACAACATTCCCACTGCCATCTTCTTCTCTGGATTATAGGAGCTGAAAATCTTGAGACACTTCTCATACTCCCTTGTCAATGCAATCTCTCTGTACAAAATTTGGTAAAGGGAGGTAGAAGCCATACTTTTGCTCTAACAGGAAGAGCAAATAAGTGTTTTTCAGTAGATGTGAATTTCCATGGCATCCTGCTGAACTCCTTTCTAAGCTTGGAACCATGGGACATTCATGCTATCAGCAATAGTTTTCTGCAGTTTTATGACCTCTGGGTGGTAGAAACAACTTCCTGACTTTCTGAACTGTGGTGATTCTGAAAGCTGGTGGTGATTCCTGATCTATGTTCCTCCATACTCTTTCTCACTTCCTGGACTGGTGATGAGCAGAGTGCCTCAGAAGTCTTGTTGAGGAAGGCAGAGTTCACAACAGCCTCTTTAGTGTGGTTTAGAACACTAAAATCTATTCCTCCTATTTAACAGCCTTTTGCTACTCCTATCCACACTCCCTTTATCCTCCCTGTTTAAGCTTAACTTTTGCATAAAAATGTTTGCAGCTGGATGTAAGTGGTGATCCAGGGCAACAACGGTGCCAGGCACAGACACAATTGTGCAGGGAGAGGGCAATTTCCCACAATATGGAAAAGTCCCGCCAAAGTACCAGCATGTTTCATATTGCAGGGGAGAGAATAACAAAAACTAGTCCCATTTACCAGGTATCTGCCAAGAGCTATTCTTGGGGTTGGAGTTCTAGAGATGTTTAAAGGAACATCAGCAGGCTGTCTAGGGCAGGTGGTACTTGGCTGAGGCAGAAAAGAGGCCCAGTAAACACTGGATCCACGCCATCTCTTCCAATAGATTAGTAGATCCCAACAGCCCAAACAGTGTTTAATTCATGTGTTTAATTCCTGAATGCTATGCCCTATCCAAAGCATTAACCCTTCTCTTTGTGTAAGCACCTGTTCCTGCAGAATCAGGATATGGGGACAATCTGGCTAGAGCCACAGACCAGATGCTTCTGCAGCTTGGGGTTTCTCCACTGTCCTCAGGACACTGTCATAATAACATAAGTATTTTCTGCCTAGTGGAAGTGATGTATGAAAAGACAGTTATTTAGACACCTCTCCTCTAAAAATAAATAGGTTGGTATCTCTAAACCTGGCCATCCTTGACATATGCACAGAAAATAGAGTGAGAAATAATTCATTGCTCACATGTCCTAGTGAAAACATGCTCTTTTCCTAGGGCTTCTGCACATGGCTTAGACGGAACTAGTTCCCAGGAGATTTCTGTACTGAGTTTTCAGAACTGGGCTCTAATTCATCCAAAATACCTGGAGAATGTGAGGGAAATTGCTGAGGGTAAAGAGAATGAGGAGGAAGATACATATGTAAATAGAAATTAAATATCTGATTGATTCCATGATCATCTTTGACACATCTATGAAAAGTGCCTGGCATGTGTTAGCTCCAGCACAAAAGGTGTACCTCAAGGTGTACCTGGGCTGGGACTCTTTTATTCCTGACCCAAGGAGGCATGTCAATGACCAGTCATTTATAACAAGCACAGAGTGCACACTTGGCTTTTTTCTCCCAGAAAGTGACAGGCAACAGAAGACTTTTCTCAAAGCCACTTTGTCACTGGCTAGCACCCCCAGAGCACACAGTTCTCTGCTACTTTACAATGTATTTTCCCCAAAAAAGTAAACATCAGATTGTTCCAGGACATCTATGGTGCCAGGAACCTTCATTTATGTTACAGGAGAATGATTCATCTAGATTTCTTCCCTCATTTCAGAAGGTTCCTGGTCCTGCAGCACAACTTCAAAGCCCCTCTTCCCGGGCAACTTCCCGCCAGAGCGGGAAGTTGTGCTGGGGCTGCCAGGACTCAGCCTGACCCAGGTTCTGGCTCCGCACAGCCCCACACGGTCTGTACGTGGCCTTGCCCTCCTGCTGCTATTGACTCCAGAAGCGTGACTTCTTCCTATTCAAAGGAGCTAAAGGAAGCCGAAAGTGTGGTTTCGGTGATAGAACAGCGCGGGACTACAGATAGAAAACTGGCTTTTGCCCGGGCGCGGAAGGGAACAGGGCCGCTGGGAAGTCCGCGCGGCGTCGGCTCCCCTCTCCTCTCTCCAGGCCTTTCCTACAACTCGCTACGGAATACGGTCGCAAGCTCTAGTCGCTCCCTCCGGCCTCAGTGTGAACACTCAGGACCACGTTCCCTAGCAGGCGCCAAGCGCGCCATTGGCAGTGTTGCCACGCCCTCGCCTCCCGCCCCCAAGCTATGACGCATGCCCAGTTCGGCTAACTCGTGTTCCCAGGGGGTGACGGGAAGCGGAAGTACTCGGAGCGCCCGGGAGGGAGGCTCTAGTTCACAGAAGCTGTTGTCATCCGCCACTGAGGTTTTGGGACTTGGCAGAGAAGTAAGGGGAGGGGTGATGGTGATGGGCTTGATGGGGAGGAATGGCGGGGCTGTGGGGTCGTGTGTTGGCGCACCTTTGGGGATTGAGTGACCCCGGCAGTGGGGTATGTTGGCTCTTGGGTCAGCGAGTCATGGATGGACTGATGGCATTGAGTCATTCAGTGACTACTACTGAGTCCTACTAAAGGCCAGGCTTCCAGACCGGTTCTCACACTAATCTGCACCGGAGCCCTATGCAGTGGTGCTACAATTAGCTTTATTTTAGAGACAAAGCAGGACAGTGTGGCTCAGCACCTGTCTGAAGTCACGTGGGTGTTAATCTCTAGAGATCCTTTTACTTTTCCTTCCGGGTAACACTTAGCCCTTTCCAGTGTGTCCTGTCCTTTATTTATTATGTTTATCTTTTCCTGTCTCCCCTACTAAAATTAATAAGCTCCAAAAGAGAATAGAAATCAGGTTTTGTTCACTTATATGTCTCCAATACATAAAAGAGGCTCATAAAAGTTACTCAACTTATGCCTTAAATTAATAGAAGTGGCACAGCTGGCCATCAGTTGGTTCTAGAGTCTGGACTCCTAGTACAGCAGTGTTGAACTCTGGCAATACTGGAGCTCATCATGAATGTTAAATCTTGAAACTAGAAAGAGTCACTATGCCTCCATGAAAAGTAGCATAGGGATCGCTAATGGAATCTCCTGTGGTCATTGTGTTTCCAGGGCAGAGTGTACAACTGAGACCACTGCCAACCAACTTCAGACTCCAGCTTATCAGTGCCCTGGCTTCCTCAGTCAGTCTAAGAAGCCCCAGCCTGAGACCTCTGGAGGAGGTGAGCTCTCGGGGTGGGAGGCAGAAATCTACTGCTGCAATGATGGTCCCAGCCATTTGCATTTGTCTCTGAGTTCCTTGGTGCTGCCTACTTGGGAACAAGAGAGTTCCTCTTGGGTGAGTTGGAGGAGAAGCCTCAGCCCAGAGTTGGAGACTCACAGAACAACAGTCCTAGAAAAGTTGGACCTACAGTGGCCTTTGACCCTCCATTCAGCTGAGAGAGCAAGGCTGACTTAACTTCCATGTGCCATCAAATTCCATGTGCCAGTAGGTAGTTTGATCCTAACAGGGAGAAAGAGAGATGAATGTCATAGGTGGCTGGAGGCATAGATGGAACAGCTGTGCTGCTACAGTGGCTGCAATGGCAGGATGAAGCTGGGAACAGTTACACCTTTCTCCTCTCCCTAGCACATATAAGTTCACAGCATTATGCTCCCTTCTCTTGTCACTGAGCCTTCTGGATTTGAGTTGGTCCCTTAGCATTAGCATCACACACTCTGAAGTACATGCTGAATCTCCATCCTGAACAAAATGAAGAAATACATTTTATATTTTTAGAGTTTGGAATTTCAGAGCAGTCTCCAGGTATGCTGTCATCCAGTTCTGTTGCCTCTTTCTGATGTTTTCGAAATGGCCTGAGAAGGTGCCTTGTTAAGCTCCCCAGGGCTGACCCTGTTGTCCTGATGCTGCTATAGTGACTGTTGCAGTGCAGGATGGTTACTCTGCACTGGAGCTCCTTGCTGGAACTTTCTTTGGAAAACTGTCCAACAAGGAAGAGCATGGCAATCCAAATGCCAGTGGTGTGAAAGGAGAAAGCGACAGGGTAGGGATAGATGGTGAGGAGCCAGTAAAGAGTAGAGGGCCAGGAAGGCAAACACAGACGCACAGTAGTTTTCAGCTTCCCAAAGAACTGACAGTGCTGGAATCTGACCTGTCCTCAGCTGTCCTTTTCCCCAGCTCTCTCAATCCCATTTCATTTCTAAACCACATCAAGGGATTCTTCTCATTCACCGTCTGTCTGCCAAAGGTCTCTTCATCTGAGTGTGGTTATAAGTGATGTTTAATATTTTTAAATTTTTATATTTCTCAAATAAATAAAAAAAAAGAAAATTGAAATCATCATTCAAAGGTAATCAGTGCCATTTCAAAAACTGCTCTTTGGAACCATATTGATTAACATAAATGAGATCACATTGTACTTGTTTTTTTTGTAACCTGATTTTAAAATTCTAAGCACAGTAATTTAAAAAGCCTATGTAATGGGGCTGGGGCTGCAGCTCAGTGGCAGAACACTTGCCTCGCATGTGTGAGGCACTGGGTTCAATCCTCGGCACCACATATAAATAAATAAAAAAGGCATGCTGTTCATCTACAACTACATTTTTTTTTTTAAATAAAGCATATGTAAATGTGTCTTTTTATATTTCTTATTTTTAATAGTATCCTTTGCTGGAAGTTTAGTTGCTTCCAAAATTTGGAAATGACTACAGTGAACATCCTTGCAGATTTGTGCACATTTATTATTGTTTAGTTCTGATAAATTTCTTGCAATAAAATCGTGGAGATAGAGGAGGTATCTTTAAACGTAAGTCATACTTCTCTCCAGTAAGGAAAACAAAAATCCCTTTGTAAAACCCACATGATCTTAGCGTAATCCCAAGGAAACAGACTGGGTATACCAGGCCATGTTTCTAGATCATTCTCCGCAGGGTTCAAAGATGACTATTATTAGGCTGGTACTGGTGGTGTTATGACTGTCCCCACTGATATTGACCTTCCTAATTCTGCCCTTTTAGGCCTCCATCCTTTGTCCAGAGCAGAACAGGATGGCCATTTCCCAGGTAAGTCCCTGATTTCTCCCTACTTTGTCTTCTAGTAAAATTGAGCAGCTTTTTGTAATGTGTATAGTAAACTTAAAAAAAAACACCTAATTATCCCCTCTGTCCTGTTTTCTACTGAACCTGTCTACCTCAGGGACAGAGAGATGAAGACAGACATATAGATACAGGGGAAAGGGAAGACAGTTTCTCTACTCCTTCCTTTGGCATATGTACCTCATCTTTCCATATATTTATCAAATATACATTTCCTTAAATCTGTATTTACCTATATAGATTCATCTTGCTTTTTCCCTTTCTTCACTTCTAGGTCACTTGTTCTTATTCATTACATTTAAAATATAAAGGTAAATTTGCCCTTAATGTTTTAATGTACATACACAAAAATAATAGTCAAAACTATCAATTTCTCCTCCCCCAGTCCCACATTCTTCCTCAGAGATGCACGCTATTAACATGTTAGTGATATCCTGGTGTAGATGCTTTTATGTCAGTTTAATTAAGCAAAAATATATATGTGTATGTGTATATAAATGTACATGTTATATATGCATATGTAACTATGTATGTGAATACCTATAAGTGTTTACATTACTGCCATCATACTCTCCTATCCATCGTTTACCACCTTATTATTATTAATAGTAGTGTTCCTTGTCAATATGAAAAGATTAATTCAATTCCAGTTTTATAGAATGGATATTATCATTTAATTATTTGTCTATTGATAGATAATTAGGTTTTAATTTTTCTTTTAATATCAAAACAGTGCCTTATAAGCAATGTTTCTATTTGTTCTGTAACATGTTTATTGAGGATATACCTGAAAGTTGGATTTTTGAGACAAAGGTATTCATACTTTAAGTTTGCCCTAAGTCTTTACTAATTACTACTTTCACAGAATGTTAAAATACCAGATAATTTCTATGTTCAAGGTTTCCAGGCTAATGAAATATCAAAGGGAATCAAATTTATTTTATGAGTGCATTTAACCTTAAATGTGATGAAGATATTACAAAAGAGAAAATTATAGACCAATTTCACTTAGGATATAGATGTCAAAATTCTAAAACCATATGCTGAGTTGAATGTGAATAATTGTAATTGAGCATGTTTCAAGGTAATTTTTACTCATGGCAAAATTTCAAGCAAAAGCTTTGTTAAACAAAAGAAGAAAAATAATTCTTCCTGTCACCCATCCCCAAGTCTTTCTCTCCTTCAGTTTTCTTACATTCTATCTAGATACATGAATCAGTTTTTCGTTTCTTTTTCCTTTTTTTTTTTTTTTTGATACTATGGATTGAGCACAGGGGCACTTTCCCACTCAGTTACATCCCCAGACCTTTTAATATTTTTCTTTATTTTGAGGCAGGGTGTGGCTAAGTTGCTGAGGCTGACTCCAAACTTCCTGTCCTCTTGCCTCAGCCTCCCTAGAGTAGCCAAGATTGCAAGCATATGCTACCATGTCTAGCTTCTTTCTCTTTCATATGTATAAATGTTATTATTTTTCCTTTTACTAGATTTAAGCTTCACAAGTTCAGGAGATTTATTTATTTTATTAATCTTGACATCCACGGGACCTAACACTTCAGTGTCTATTCAGTAAATATGCATTGAATGTATAAGATATTTTAACAATCTACTTCCCCTACAAAGTTTAACATAATTTAAGTATATAATCCTGTGTATACAGTAGTCCCACTTTGCCTATGGCTTTGCTTTCTGTGGTTTCAGTTTCATGCAGTTCTTTGGTCTGAAAATATTAAATGGAAAATTCCAGAAATGAACAATTTATAAGTTTTAACTTGGATATAATTCTGCATAATGTGATGAAATCTTGTGCTTTCTTGTTTCAACCTTGTCAAGCTTCCATCGTCCCTTTATTCAGTCTATCCACATTGTGTATGCTAGCCACCCATTAGTCTCTTATTAGTCATCTTATTTATCCGATCCACTGACAGACTATCACAGTACTTGTGTTCATATAACTCTTATGTAGTAACATTATATTAGATGCCTATGTCATTTTCCTCATTTCATCTCATCATATAGACACCATATCTCACATCATCATAAGAAGTATGGTACAGTGAGATATTCTGAAAGAGAAAACACATTCACATAACTTACAGTTTATTGTTATAATTGTTTTGTTTTATTATTGTTGTTAATATCTCATTATACCTAATTTATCGTTAAGTATGTCTGTATTGGAAAAAAAAACAGTATGTAAAGGGATTCAGTATTATCCATGATTTCAGGCATCCATTGGAGGTCTTGAAATATATCCCCTGCAGATAAGGGAGGACTACTATAATACTCTGCCATATTGCAACTAGTGAACAACATAAGAACAAATGTATAGAGAAAGACAAAATACTGTAGTGTCTTAAAAGGGGGTGCTGAAGACAGACCACATAGATTTTAATCTCTAGTTCCAAGCTATGATCTGGGATAGTTACTTTATGTTCTGTGCACCTTATATTCCTCATCTGTCAAGTTTCTCCTAGGATGGTGATGAGGATTAAAATCTTTAGTACAGGTAAAGGTCTTAGAATGGGCACAGAGTATGCACTCAGTGTGCATGAGGTGTCATGTCCCAATTCCCCCAGCTGATCCCTTGTGTTAAAGAGGAATGTGCTGTTACAGGAATCCCTGACCTTCAGGGACGTGTTTGTGGACTTCACCCTGGAAGAGTGGCAGCAACTGGACCCTGCTCAGAAAAACCTCTACAGGGATGTCATGCTTGAGAACTACAGCCACCTGGTGTCTCTGGGTGAGGGACTGCTGCACAGGGTGACATGGAATGCCCCCAGGAGTATCTCCTTCTCTAAGCTGCTGCAAGCTCAGTGGCATTGAAACCCTCAGTGAATTTGGGCAGGAGGCTCAGTGTCAACAATTCATAGTTCCATTAGGTCACTGGATAGGACATTTGTGCTCTCGCCTTCTAGGTGACTGCTCTATACAGGGGCAGGTTGCTGCGTGCATGGGGTAGTCACCGGGGCTGCACCATCTTCAGCCTGAAGGGATGGACCGTGGTCTGGAATGCCCGTAGCATTAATGCCACAGTCTTATGTCATTTCTCCTGAACAGGGTATCTACTTGCCCAACCAGATGTGATCTTCAGGTTGGGACAAGGAGAAGAAGCCTGGAGGGCAGATGGAAGGACTCCCATACAGAGCTGTCCAGGTAAGCAGAATCCAGGTGTGTCAGGCCAGGATAAGGAACCCAGTTGTGTGTAAGAGCTGGGCTCCTGGGCTGCACTTAGGAGCTCTTCTCAGCCCCTAGACTTGTGACATGACTCTGGTCTGAAGAATGAGCTGTGGTGATATCCAAATGAGGCTCCTACCTTGTTTGCCTTTTGTGGTCTCTAGTGTTCTTCACCTGGCATTCACACAGAGGGTGGTCTTTCTGATTCTGAGATCCCACCTCTCTTCCAGCCTCCTGGCTTGCTAGGGAGAAGTGCCAAGCCCATTCTCATCTCTTTCCCTCTCCTTTCTGGAAGCTTTTAAGACTTTATTCCCCCTTCTTGGACTTTTGTGTTTTTACTGGAATAATTGTAGGCAAAACACCAATTTCCTGTCTATTGAGCATGCTGTACAAGGGCAAGTTGCTACGTGCATGGGGTAGTCACCGGGGCTGCACCATCTTAAGCCTGAAGGGATGGACCTTGGTCTGGAATGCCCACAGCATTCCAAGCCCTTTCAGTCTGAAATTTGGAGTCTTTGTTTTAGCCTCAAGAAAATTATTCTACCTGGTTACTTTCCATTGGTATGGACGACAAAGCTTTGCTAGCAACCTTTAACTCTTTTAGGCCAGGTACCCACTATGTTCTCATCTGTCTTTGCTTTGAACCCAGATACCATAAACCTTCATACTGTTTCTGTTTTCTTATTTCTTCTCAGACTCTTACAAATCTGACTTGATGCCACTGCCATCCATCCATTTGCTTCTCTCAATAATACTTCCTTCCTTCTCAACTCTTTTTGTATTATTCAAAAAATACATAAACTTGAGAAGCCATTGCTTCCAGGTAGAATATTTCGTTGAACCATGTTTCAGTCCTGGATGGATGGAGCTGCCTTTTTCTTTGATTAGTTGGTTGTTTATTTTCACTTTGAGCTGCTTGTGGGGATCCAGAAACTCCAGATCTATTGGTCTCCTTTTGCTCTCCCATTTGTACTAATCCTCTCCATGAGCCCATCCCAGAGAAATTTGATTAGAATGCTCTTACTCTTCATAGTGTGGCCCATGAACCAGCAGCCTGCGAATTTCTGGGACTCTATGGTATCAGGCCTCACTGAAGATTTACTAAATCAGATTGTATATTTCAGCAAGCTCTTCAGAGAACTTGCAGGCACAGGACAGCTGAGGATACTGCTCTATTTTTCTTTTCTTTATTTTTTGTGGTGCTGATGATAGTATCCAGGGCCTTGCACATGCTAGGCAAGTACTCTACCATTGAGCTACACCCACAATCTGAGAAGCACTGCTTTTTAGAGATTCATTTCAGAGCAACATTCTTGGTCAAATGTTGGCCACATGGACCTATAGGTGATTCCCCAGGTGGTTTTCCCAGTGCCTAGTCCTACTGGGCAAATATACCCACTCTCTTAGAGGAACCCTGGACCAGTCTTTGTGGCCCCCACTGCTCTCCTGCTTCTCCTTGTTGTTGTTGTTTTTTTTTAGCTATAGTATTGTTGTTATAGCTCAGTGCACCACCATATCTGCTGCCTCACAGAGGTGCATGAGGATTCCAGGTGTACTGATGGCACAATTTCTTAATTTCCAGTGATACCTGGAATTAGAATGAATGTTCTCATTCCACTGGTATCCTGAAAGGGATGAAAACTATATTCAGGATAGTCCACCCTCCTGAGTCACAATACCTATTTATTTATTTAGTACCAGGGACTGAATTCAAGGGCACTTAACCACTGAATTATATCTCCAGCCATTTATATTTTTAAATTTTGAGACAGGGTCTCTCTAAGTTGCTTAGGGCCTGGCTAAATTGCTGAGGCTAGCTTTAAACTTGCAATCTTCCTGCCTCGATTTCCCAAGTCACTGGGATTACAGGTGTGTGCCCCCACACCCAGCACAATGTCCTTATATTAAAATTGCATTCTATTAAAATTTAATATAGACATGCACATGTACAGTCTGAGTGCAGAACATAGGATAAAATGTAATCTTAGATTCATTCCAAGTTACACCTCCCAAGAGCAGCCTTAACTAAAGGTTTCTGTTTTCAGTTCTTCTGTTGAGCACCACCATAGGTCTAGGGAATAGCTTTATTCCTACACTTCTTGAATTTTCATTTGTATCTCCCCTCAATGAAAGATAAGAATTAGCTTACTTACCCTTTGGCTTTCTGCTCTCAGCTCTTCATGTTACTTAAATTCTTATCTCCTTTGTTACATTTATAACTTTAAATAACATTTTTTTGCATTCCACATGGTAATTTCAAATGCAGTAGCTCAGGAGGCTGAGGCTAGAGGATTATGAGTTCAAAGCCAGCATAAGCAACTTAGTGCAGCCCTGAGTAACTCAGTGAGGCATTGTCTCTAAATAAAATACAAAAAGGGACTCAGGATGTGACTCAGTGTTAAGTGCCCCTGAGTTCAAATCCATGGTACCAAAAATAAAATGCCTAGCACACAGAGGAGTGTGCCTGTAATTGCAGCAACTTGGGAAGCTGAGGCAGAAAAATTGAAAGCCTGAGGCCAGCCTCAGCAATTGGTGAGATCCTGTCTCAAAAAAAGAAAAAGTCTGGGGATATAGGTCAGTGGTAAAGTCCCTTGGTTCAATCTCCAGTACCCCCCCCCACACACACACATATACAAAAAAAAAAAACCTATAGCTTATTTCTCTACTGAAAACACAGAACCCTAGATAGAAGAGTGTGCATCTCATTTACCCAGTGTTGGACTAGTGGAAGACAATGAATAAATATTATATCGTTTTATACCTGGGCAGAGGAAGGAGACTTGTTATTCATCCACACACAAGTGGCTAAGAGTATGGACTTTGTAGCCACATAGTCTGGGTTCAAAATCTGGCCATTTCTCTCAGTAGCTGTCACTGTGGACAAATGGCTTTGCCTCTCTTCACTCATTGTAGAAGGGGGCTAATGATAAAACTTAGTGATTATCAAAAGTTAATGTATTGATGTATGTAAAGCAACTGAAATGATACCTGGCATAAAAGAAGCACTCAAAATTTCATCACTGTTTTTACCCATACAGAAGGGGAGTTTTCTCTTTGTTTTGTTTCATGGAGTGATTGTTAACCAGAGATATATTACATAATTGCTATGGAACTCTCACAATAGTCATGAGTAGGCCCCACTCTCTAGAATTTTTTTCAGAAACCTGGGTTAGGCCTGGTTAGGATTTTGAATAACATTCCAGAGAGTTCTAATGTCCATTTTTAGTTAAAGGTATGCTGCTTAACATATCTGCTAGAGGGATTTCAAGGAAATGGGAGACATAGCAAAGCCAGCATCCAAAAGCATGGGATCAGGATGGGATGGGAATACAGGAGCATGTGGACTTGCTCATAATTCCCAAGGGTGGATGCAAAAAGCAACTTGAATTGCTTCCCATTCTTCCATACTTAATCTATTTGGGGACTGTAAACCACCCCCCCCCCATGCCTGGATAGGTCTCTGATAGTTCTCTAGGTTAATTTCAGATAATAAAAGTCTCCTAGGAACTGTTGGTCTCAAGAGTAACCTCACTATCATAATAAAAATTATCATCAAATCCCATGTAGTGGTAGAACCTCTGAAATTTATGTAACATTTATTGATCTTTTCACAGAACGAATTTTTAGCTTTGTTAATTTCTCTGTGGTTTCTCTTTGTTTTGTTGATTTTTCTTCTTTTACTTTTATTTCCTCTTTTCTATTTAGGCTGCTGGATTTGCTTTGCTATTCTTTACCCAGATTTCCCCCCCAACATTTTATTATGAAAATTTTCATAAAGAACAAGTAAAAGAGTTACAGATTGAATGCACATATAATATCTCCACCTGGATTCAATAATTAACATTTTGCTATATTTGATTTATCTCCTGTCTGTCTGCGAATTCCTCTGTCCTTCCATCAGTTTACCTTTTTTTTTTGCAGCGCTTTTCAAAGTAAGTTGCAGAGACTAGTACACTTCGCCCCATGAATTTCCTATAGGCATATCATTGGTGCTTATGAGGTATTTTAATAAAAGGATATGCTTTATTGGCATGTGATCTTTGGCTATATGTTGTAATATTCTAATATAATTCTCTGTATATATTTTCTTTGTATAGTCATTATATATTTATGCTGATGTTACTGTGTTGCTTTTTTTTTCCAAGTGAGATTTATTGAGGTATAATAATGTCCAGTATGAAGTTCACCTTCCCTAGGTACACAGTTCTATAATTTTGACAAATATAATTATGTAACTATCACCACAATCAAGATATTCAACATTTTCATCTCTCCCAAAACACCTTTGTTTCCTTTTATAATTAAACTTTCTCTCCACCCCAGGCTTCAACTCTTTCCCTTCTAGTTTCTTTCTTTCTAGAATTTCATATAAATGAGTCATATATGACTTCTTTCACTTACTTTAATGCTTTTTAGGTTCATCCATGTTGTGCATACATCAGCAGTTTATTCCTTTTTATAGCTGAGTAGTGTTCCAGTTTATCGATGGACCAGTTAATGCACATATGACTTGTTCCCAGTTTTTGGCTATTATGAATGAAGCTTGTGAACATTCTTGTACAGGTATTTGTATGGACCTATGATTTCATATCTCTTGGGAAATATGAGATTTAGAGTGGGATTGCCTGGTCTTATGGTAAGCACATATTTAACTTTGTAAGATATTGCAAAGTATTTTCTAATGTGGCTGTATCATTTTGTTCTCCCACCAGCAACTCACCTTTCTAGTAGGTATGTAGGGGATCTCATTGTGATTTAAATTTGCATTTATATAATAATTAATTATATTGGGCACATTTTCATGTGCTTATTTGCTATCTCTGTACCTTCTGTGGTCAAGTATCTGTTGAAATATTTTGCTATTTTGGTTTATTATTAAATCGTATGGGTTATTTATACATTCTGGCTATAAGTTTTCACCAGCTATGTGTTTTCCAAGTATTTATTCCCAGGCTGTGGCTTGTTTTGTTATTAATAAT